GTTATGTGCGATGAAGCCTGGGTGCACAATTCCACTTGGAAATGGAGTACAAAAGCAGTCAAGGAATACGGATTAATGAATAACGGCAGAGTTAAATAGACTTCACCAGAATGATCCAACCTTACTGACTAACTCTGCGGTAATAAGCCTGCTTTCAATGAATCTATTGACCAACGAGATGGACGATTGTCAAAGACGACATAAAAAATAAAGAATAAAATCTAGTTAATTTTCTGTCCAGAAGAAACAGACAGGGAGCAAGGCCATCAATAAAGGGAGACACACGTCTGCAGTACATCATTGTGGGCGAAGTGCTTGATTAAAGCAAACAAGGTATAAATTAGCCGAAAAGATGAATTTCATCCGCATCATTAATGAAGGTCAAGAACATAGCTAGATTTAGAACATAAACAAGAGGATAGGCAAAGTATGCACTCAAATCAATTAAAACTTGCAGAATCCTTAAGGCAATGAGAAGTCCCACTTGTCTGTTTCCCAAGCGTGGAAGTAGGAAATGCAAATAAAAACCGAACTAACCAAAGCAAAAGTCATAGGAGCTTCATAAGACCCAGCCGAAAGAACGAAACGATAGCGTCCACTCTCCATCATGTGTAAAAAAAGCAGCTCAAAAAAGTCCACATCGCATTGACTGAAAGGAAAAGGGTTATAATGAACACCACCATACATGAGAGGGAGTTCCACATGACGCAGGTATTCGCCATCGATATCCACCTCTGGCGTCCAAACTCTAACACCGGCGGTCCACAGAACAATCACTGTGTCAGCACCAGAACCAACTATACGAGCCAAAATGTTAAAATAACATGAAATCAACTTTCCTACCAAGACGACCGAGCATTATGTGGCACCGGGAACAGAAAACTCCCTCCAACTTCGATAACATCTTTGTGGGTTTAGAAGCCCAAACACAAGAATTAAGAATTATTTCGATTCCATTGCAAAGAACAGAGGATGGTGATAGATTGGAAACCAATCTTGAAAGTGGAGTGCTACTAACTGCAGCGACTGAGTGACCTCCGTGACAGAAAAAGGTATTCGGTTCAGAGCTGGCAAGTGCATCAACTGACGGGAGATTATCGACCTTCGTGATGTTCCTTATGTCTGCAATATCTCCATCACAGAACTTGCATCGGAGAATTTCGCCATTAACAATGCGCTCGCATATAAAGGAGTAACGACGACCATCATTTGAATTTAATGTGCAGGTTGCATCAAAAGAAATAGACTCGAAATTGCCAAAGGAATCAGGATTAATCGCGCCAGAAACTGGGACAAAGCTCAGGTTTTCAAATGCAATATCGATCTTCGGAGTGATTTCCGAAAATGACAGTATGTTTGGCGACACAAACTTGAGTGAGCAGCTATAGATAGAAATACAGAGGACCCAACAAACTTTTGGTTTAGTTCTCCACACAGGGTAAGAGTGAATTTTCGCAGGCCGTAGGAATAATCGCCGTAGAGGCTATAAAGAACCATAATGAGGAGCAACAAAATTCAGCCCTAAGGTACAAAAAACGCGCGGTTGTCGAGAGGTTGGACTCCTGTGTATGGCTTAGGACACAAAATCCTAGCCAATATTAAAAACCGATTAAAGACAAAAGCTAGTTTTATATCC